AGATCTACTTTGAGTCTAAAGAAAGATGAGAAGACTCTGGGGTTTTGATACCATTATGAAGCCTCTGAATTAGCCAAACATTGAGCCACCCCATTTTCAAACTTCTTAGTATTTGAGTAATTAATTTCTTTCATTTGTTGTTGTCCAAGCCAGTTGATTTTTGTCTTCTATACAAGTAGCTTAAAACATCCTAAAAAAAAAAAAAAAAAAAAAAGGTTTCAAAAAGGCTAGCAAAGAGTAGGACTCATTCACACTTAATAGAGTGTATTGTTGACTGTTGTAGTATATAATCCTGTGCTGTCCAGTATGGCAGTCATTAGTCACATTTGACTGTTAAGCACTTGAAATGTGCCCAGTCTGAACTGAAAGTTCAGTAAGTGTAAAATAAAAATCATGTTTTGAAGACTTAGAACTAAAATGGTAAAAAATATAAAGAATTTCTGATAATTTTAATTGATTACATGTTGAAATGACATTATTTAGGACATACTGGGTTAAATAAAATATATTATTAAAATTAATTCTAGTTTTTTTTTTTTTACTGTTTTTAATGTGACTACTAGAAAATTTAAAGATATGTAGTTCCCATTGTATTTTTACTGGACAGCACTAATCTAGACAGAATCCAAGAATTGTCCTGTCATTTGCCAACTGAGGTAAGGCACAGAGTTCTTTGAAATGCTTTATATTTGACACTTTGCAAATACTATTTATATAGCAAGATTCAAATATAAACTGCAAATTTAGAAATTATCTAAAATGAGGAAAGTGGCACATTTGGTTTTGCCTGCATTCTTAAAAGTTCCAGACATTTCGCAATGATTATATAGAACTTAGTTTATGTACATTCAGTATTTGGGTACCAGATCCTACATATGTATTCTTTGTGTTTTCCTCCTGTCTCTGAGATACCAAAAAATGTACAGGCGCAAATAAATACGTATCGTATTATTTCAGTTCTCTAGATCAGAAATGTAAGTTGCTCTAACCCTAAAACCCTGAATTTGGGGTTCTATCATTGGTATGTTTCTATCAGCAGGAAAAGCTAAATTAAAACTTGATTTAAAAATATCATTAAAAAAAAATAGAACACAGCCTGATATAGGCGCTCCTTATGTTCCTATATAAGACTCCAAGGAAGTGGGTGAACCTTACCCTTTCCCTCATGCTGAAAAGTAATCACCATGTAAAAATGTTGTTTTATTTCAGAGTTGCTTGCCAATATGTCAGTTTTTAAATTTAGAAATAAAATAGTTGAATATGTAAGTAGATTTTAAAGTGTACATTTTGGCTGAATGCATAGGAAAGTAGAATTCTGTATTTTAAGGTTTTTATAAAACTCTTGTTTGCGTTAATTTTTAAAGGAATAATTTGTATGTCTTTATATAACTTCTTTCAGCAAAGTATGTTATACTGATTTCTAGCAATATATATATATCCCCATTACAAAAGTATAGCAATGTTTATGTATCATCATAAACATATATATAATATGTATTTATATAAATATAAATTATGTATATTGCTACATGCTACACACTGCTCTCTATACTTCACATAGATTAATTCATTTAATCAGCTGTATTTTCTCAGAATTTATTCATAAAAATCAAATCTTCACTGTTACATCATAATTTAGCACTTAGAACCAATATCCTTAGTGTTTGAAGAGAAAAGGTCAGTTTGCAAGGTTAAAGTAAAATCTTCAATCTAACATCTGAAAGGTTCCATATAAAAATCAATAGCAAAAGAAAAATATTTTGGATTGCTAGAAATAATAAGAGCATAGTAAGATACTTGGATGCTTTTCTTGCAGCAAAAAAACATGTATCCTTCAAGAGTAGAAAAAAGACTCCATATGTGCAATTATAGATGAAATACAATTGTCATCTGTCATATGTCTCCTTTCTCCACAGAGAACCTAGTTTAGGATTAAGATTAAATATCAGACCCAGAGACCACATGCTGCATCAATTTATTGTTGAGCCTGGATGTCAAAAGAACTTCCAAGTAGAAGAATTATTTCAAAATAGTGTCAGTATAATTTATTATTACTTTTTTTAGTCATTAAATGCAAAGGGATGTCAACTATAAATTCGTATGATTTTTACATTTAAGTTTTGTGAAGGCCAAGTGTAATGTGTTTGGGTTCTTCGATACCAAGTTTTTAATAAGCATTTAAGAATATGTCTCCTTTATTTATTTATTTTTTTGAGAGGACCATTGATTCAATATGTGGATAATAGCAGAAGATTACAAGGCAACAATTAGGTCCTTTAAATAAAATAATAAAGAATAAACGTGATTTTTGTTCTTAGGGAAAACTTGATGTGTTCTGGTTAAGAGTGAAAGGAAGCTAGAAAAGCTTATTTTGGATAAAATTCTTAGTTTTCATTTTTAAGAGTAATACAAACTAGAAAGGGACCAGAGGACCCATGGGAACACAACATAAATGTGTAATCACCAAAAATTCATGCTTACTAAGAAGTTAAAGGCAAGGAGATGGGAAGGAATAAAAGGAGGCCATTTAGGTCATTTAAGCTTAACAAGGGCAGAGAAATGAGGATGTTCAAGAAAGTGCAATCACAGAAGAATATGTAGACCATTTCCTGCTTAGATTATTCTCTACGTATTCATGCAATGAATTCATGCAGTTCTACACACAGTATTCAGCATATCAAAAGAAAGGCATTTCCTCAAAGAGTAATAAAAGCAAAGATTTAGTTCTAGACCAGCACTCCCAGGAGAATGTACCACCACTAGGGAGCAGCAGAGGCTGTTCCTTGGGTCATCAGCTTCCACTCAGAATCTCACATCAAAAATAATCAACTGCATTTGCACAATGCTTTTGAGTCAATGAGGAGTTCTTATCACTCATTTTCATTATACCACAATCTGGGATATCCCATTCTTACCCATTTTTCAGATGCAGAAGGGAAAGGCCTATGGAAGTCACAGTGCCAGGAAGAAGTAGAATTGGAGCTGCCTTTTCCCACCCCAAAATCTGTGCTAGTACTAATGGTGAGCATGTGATAAAAGGCACCCTCCAGAGAGCATACATTTCAGTCTAGAAAGGGGCCACCACTGAATGTTTCAATTCTAAGGTACACCATCTATTTTATATCAGGTTTTCTGTTGGTAGGTGGAAACAGAGGTGTAATACCTCACATTAATTTTAAGTTGCATTTTAATTTCAGAAGATTGAAAGAAAGAATGTTGTAAACTTAAGGAAATAGTATATATGGATAATTCATGTTTATATTTGTGTGGGTATTCATATTTGTGTGGATATTCATATTTGTGTGTGTGTGTGTGTGTATGTGTTGATAACCTTTTAAAGAAATTGATACATTGGAACTGTACTTTTTCACTCCTGGGCTTGTCTTTCTAAATCTCCCTCTTTTTTTGTTTCATACTAAATTTTATCTTGTATAACACTTTAGGGCCAATTCTCAGTTGAAATCTCAAAGTGATATTTACCAGATGATTCCTGATTTACTAACAAAGTTAGAGAAGGATGCTATGGTAGCCCTTCTCGAAAAACATTTATTCCTTTAAAATGGCAGTGTTCAATTTCAGGTCAGGTAATAGTGGTGGTTAGTGGTAAAATAGGAGATATTTTGCTGGAGGTGGACTTTGCAGTACTGCTCAGTTACACTGTGAGGGGGGATACATTCTTCACCCTTCTTCTGTACCTTTATGAAAGACCACCCCTTTTTTGCTTTACATATATTTCCATCTGCCAACAATGACCAGACAATTTTTAGCATTCAGGAAATATGATTGCTCTGACACACAGGGTTTTTTAAAGGGTTGAGAAACCATGGGCTAAGGAAATTAAGGAATTAGATCATTTGAAGGATCTATGCATTCAATAAACATTCATAAAACACCTAGTATGGGGCAGCCTGGGTGGCTCAGCGGTTTAGCGCCGCCTTCAGCCCAGAGCATGATCCTGGAGACCCAGGATCGAGTCCCACGTCAGGTACTCTGCATGGAGCCTGCTTCTCCCTCTGCCTGTGTCTCTACCTCTCTCTCTGTCTTTCTCTGTCTCTCTCGTGAATAAATAAATAAAATCTTAAAAAAAAAAAACACCTTGGGATCCCTGGGTGGCGCAGCGGTTTAGCGCCTGCCTTTGGCCCAGGGCGCGATCCTGGAGACCCTGGATCGAATCCCATGTCGGGCTCCCGGTGCATGGAGCCTGCTTCTCCCTCTGCCTATGTCTCTGCCTCTCTCTCTCTCTCTCTCTCTGTGTGACTATCATAAATAAATAAAAATTAAAAAAAAAAAAACACCTAGTATGTGTCTTACACTAGGTTGGCACTGGGAACATTAAGATTAAGAAATAATTTTCAAGCAAAAAAAGAAAAACCAACAAACTTTTCTATATCACATGGTAAGATTAAGAAATTGCCAACATTAAATGCAAAATGGGTGCTTGTAGGTCAGTAGAAGATCCTTCTTCTTAGCTTTAAGTAAAGGAATAATAGTGCAATGCTGTTTAACAAATATTTCATTATCAATTTTTTGATTATACACAGTTATGCAGAAAAACATAGAAATTGATAAAACTGGGTTTGTGTAGTCAGCTTCCCAAATATCCCTGATGATGCCCATCTTCTGGTCCACTCATCTTTGTGGCTCCCCTTCTGCCCTGAGGCAGGCAGGGTTGGTCTTTATGACCAATAACATACTGCAGAAGCAATGGGGCAGCTGTCATCTGGGACTCTTTCTTTCTCTGTCTTGGCTCACTCCTTTAGGTGAGGTTATCAGCCATGTTGTGAGCAGCCGTGTTTAGAGGCCCAAGTGGTGAGGAGCTGACATGGGTTCTCCTTTTCCAGTTGGAGTCAGGTTTTCCAAGGTCTGCAGCCTCAGTGGTCAATTTGACCACACCCTCGTGAGAGACTCTAAGCCAGAACCACCCAGCTAAGCTAGATTTCAGAATCACCGGAAGGAACTATGAGGTTAAAAATGTTTGTTTTTTTGTTTGTTATTTTAAGCTGCCAAAGGTTGGGGTAATTTGTTACACAGTGATGAAGTAACTTTCTAGTGGAGCTCCTCCTGCCTGCGGTGCTGCATCAGCAAACCAAAGGTTAGATTCTATAAAAACTTCGTGCCTTCTACCTTTTGCAGTTCTCCAGAAGGAGACTGTCTGCTTCATGAAGTATTAAATAAAGTTTGTTTGTATTACCTAAATTGTCTTCTTTAATCATTTTTTAAACAGCTTTTCATGATGAAGAATGGGATCCAAAGCCTTCAGCTACTGGCCTATGGGATGAGGTGTACAGGCAAGGTTCTCACCGAACCCTTAGATTTCACTGTTCCTCTCTTCCTCACAGAAGAGCCACAGGTAAGTCACACTTAGATTTGAGCTCCACTCCCCTGCGTGCAGCTCTCTGATGCAAACAAACTTTATGTATATGTGTGTATATATATTCCCAGAAAGGTCCTGGACTCCTAGAAAGATTCCTCGGTGGTTACATTGAGAATCTGCAATGGGTAGCAGCCATTAGGGAACTCACGAAGCCTGGAGCTGAGTCCATGGCCTAAACCGCCTGGTGGCTTGGGAAAATAAGAAATAAGACAAGAAATTCAGACCATTTTGAACACCAAAATGAAAACTTAACAGGAAAATATTGATTCTCAACACCTTTTTTCATTCTCCCCAAGAATGTCTCCCATAGTCTTTATGTCTTACTCAGTGGCATTTATTTCCAACCACTTGCTTAGGTCAAACATTTTGAAGTCACCTTGAGTTTCTTTCTTACTCTTATACCTCACAGCCAATCTGTCAATAAATCCCACCAATTACATCTTCAAAATATGTGCAGAATCTGTCTACTCTTCTACTACCAAGTAATTGTCATCTCCTTCCTGGATTATTGCAACCATCTTCTAAATGTTTTTCTCATGTCTGCCCCCTGCGGTCTATTCTCAACAGAGTAGCCAGACAGAGAAATTCTTCTAAAAGCATATATAATCCTGGGGTACTTTGGGGGGGTACTCAGTCAGCTAAGTGGCTGATTCTTGATTTCAGCTCAGGTCATAATCAGGGTCCTGGGATCAAGTCCCACATCGTCTCTGCACTTAGTGGGGAGTCAGCTTGAGGATTCTCTCTCTCTGCCCCTTGCTCTGTCTCAAAAAAATAAAAGTAAATAAATCTTTGAAAAAAATAAAAGCATGTATAATCCTGATTTAACTCTGCTCTGCCAATGGCCTCCCTTCTCACTCCTAGTAAAAGACAGAGCACTTATAATGACCCACAGACACTGTGCATCTGGCCCCTCACTTCCCTGTCATCTTCCACCATTCTCTTTCTTGTTCCACTGCAACAGCAGTAGAGTCTCTGTTGCTTCTTCAACTCTCCAGGCATGAAACCACCTTCAAGGCTGGAGAACTTTTACATCTCTTCTCATTGTTAGGTTTCCAGAGAAGCCATCCCTGCTGACTACACTTTCCTTTCATAGAGAGAGAGAGAGAGAGAGAGAGAGAGAGAGAGGGCGCGTGCGCGCGAGAGAGCGTGTGCACACACTCACCCTTACTCTGTAATGCTCCAAAACCTTAGGAAACAATAGTGAATTAAAATTAAATGGACAAAAATTCTTTTTTTTTTTTAAAGATTTTATTTACTTATTCATGAGAGACACAGAGAGAGAGGCAGACACACAGGCAGAGAAGAAGCAGGCTCCTCGCAGGGAGCCCGATGTGGGACTGGATCCCACGTCTCCAGGATCATGCCCTGAGCCGAAGGTAGGCGCCAAACTGCTGAGCCACCATAGGCGTCCCATGAAAATTCATGCCTCATGGAGTAAGGGGAGGCAGCTGATAAGCAATGCACATAACAAAGACATAAATTTGGCTCTAACTCTTATCAACAAAAGCAGAACACATGATAGAAGATCAAAGTGATATATTGCAATGACCAGGGCAGGCCTCACTAAGAGGAAAGACTGGAGGGAGAAAAAAGAGAGCTACTCAGGTGCTTGCAAATCCCCTTCACATCCTTCTATACTTTCTCCCCATTTCTTGCACAGCTTCCTCTATATAGAGCCTTATCACCATCTAATATACCGTAAATTTCATATATAAATGAGAAAATGATTTTAGTAACTTATTTGATGTTCCATGATCAAATAATGGAATAAAGTTAGTCTCTGAGAAACCTCTGGAAGGAGCCTTTCTGATTTGAATGTATGTAAAATATTGCTTGAAAAATATGATCTGTTTAATAGAGAATAGCCTTGCAAAAACTAAATACCAAACAGATTTTTAGGGAAATGCTGCTTCGATATGGAATCCTGTTGGACTTGGTATAGGAAATCCATCAAAAATCTGATAGGTGGCAACAATGTCATGATTCTCAGAAAAGGATTCTCTCTCTCTCTCTCTTTCTCTCTCATTCTTTTGTTATGTAGAACAGAAAAACTAGTTTCTTCCTTATGTAAAAAGAACAAAAAAGACTGAGTCCTTAGATACTGAAAGGGAGTACATTTTCTTAAAGCCACTGAAAGCCTGTGGCAAAGGAAGAAGGGCTGCAGGGGGTTTGACTCTTAGAATTGGTTTAATGATGGAATCCACAATCTCTGGATAAACCCAGTAAGTCAGAGTGAGTTCAGTATAAGCTGAGGATAGATCATCAGATGAAGCTCCAATTTATAATACCTGATGGTTAGAGCCAAATCAATCTCAATATAAGAGAAACCCTATTAATATTGGTGAATGGATTATTAAAACTAAAGCATTCTGTGAAATTTTATGGCCAACCTTCTTATTTTTCTTTAGTTAGGAAAAAAAAAAATCATTGGCTATAGTCAGCTCCAGGTTTGACATGTTTCTGTGTAGGCTGCACACTATGATAAAGAATGCTATCAACCTGTGAAATTTGGGGTGTATAGTTGAGGTTATTTGGGGGTTGATAGATTTGTGCTGCTTCATCCACATTCTTACTAAACGTTAGATCTCTCTTGTGACTAATGATACAGCATGAGTTTGTGAGACTAGCTTGATCGTTTGGGGATCAGATCTGAGGCTGTGGCCTCATTAGCACAGTAACTAACAAGCTGAGCTAATTGGTCACACACCACAGTCACAAAATGATTATTTATGAAACACCAAAGATAAAGTCTTAAGGTATATTTGTGGCAAGCATAGCATTTTGGTTTATTTATGTGATTTTAAAATAAGAGCAATAAACAGAATACTGCCTCATACTTCCAGGCATGGGGTTTACAATACTGAACAATTTCCTAAAGGAACATTTTGCAATTCTTTTGACCATAATCCCTCTTTTCTAATGAACCTAAAATTATCATGCTCCACCTGAAAATTATTATTGTCATCTACATGTTCCCACCAGTCCAAATCAGTGTTGAAGGTTTATTTACTATAGTCAAATATAAAATATCATATTGTTTGCTTTTACAAACTACAAATGTATGTCCTAAAATGTCTGATATGTCCTTTTTTTGTTGCTCTTCCCTATAAGGGAAGTTTGTTCTGTCTCTAACAAACCAGGCTCAAAAAAGTATGTCTTTTTTTTTTTTTTTTTTTTTGAGAGAGAGAGAGAGAGAGAGAGAGAGAGAGAGAGAGAGAGAGAATGTCAAGCAGGCTCCATGCTAAGCCCTGCCTGATACAGGGCATGATCCCACGACCCTGAGATCATGACCCAAGCCGAAATCAAGAGTCAGAGGCCCAACTGATTGAGCCACTCAGACACCTCTAAAATATTTGTCTTTTGATAGGATTTGCTACAAATGTATGAAGGTGTTAAAGTAATTTGAAAATATAAATATGATTGGCATACAAGTAGCACAGACCAAACTTTTTGATGAGTAGGTTAACAAAACCAGTGCAAACAAGAACATGAGACTGTTATATAGATGATAAGTAAAAAATGTCAATAAAAAGGAGTTCTGAATTTCAGTTGCTTAATCACATGTAAATCTAGTTAATGTCCTACATGGCAGTAACCATAGCATTCAGGATTAGCTTCTCTTTAGGACTGACATCATTTGAATTGATCAGTTTCTAACACCTAACTTGACAGACATCAGAGTAGTGAATAGTAAATCAAAGAAAGTTCCATTCTCTGTTTAGATGGCCCTTAGGTAGTCTTATTTATGTGATATTAAAAGATAACATCATCATCTTTTCTCCAAATTTCTGATAGCTTTTCTTAATGCAAATCATAAAAATGTGAACATGTAATACAAGAGTATGAAGCGGTGGGGTTTTGTGGGAGAGCTTTGCAGTGACTGTGTAATTGCACACACTCTCTTTCTCTATTCATAGATCTCCCAAGATCCCTTTTTTAAAGAAATTTTGTTTATCTTTCACAAAGTCCTGAATAGTCCCCTTGACTGTTGCCTTTCTTGGCTTTCTGATCTTCCCCATCTCATGCTGTTCTGCTTTGAGACTGATCGGTACTCTTTTTTGACATGAACAATGCTTTCATTTTCTGGAAAATAGGCTCCTTTGATTGGATGCTGAGGGATAGATGAACAACTAGCTATACTTGCCTTAATTACTTTACCCCTTAACTCCATACCTCACTTGCTGGGCTGTACAGATATATCTGACTCACTTACTGTGTTGGACTAAAGAGAATTATGATGCAGAGAAAAAATTTAAGCTATATGCTACATGTCCTTATTCTCCTTGCCCAAGGGAAAAGCTCCCAAAGGCTGGAACCTTTGTGGAGGATTTCCTTCATGGATGCAACTCAGGTTCCTTCCTTGACCTCCTGCTCTCTATGCCACATTTCTCAGCAATTGCTTTCTTATTCGTACCTACATTATAATGACCCGCTAATCCCCTCTTGGGAAACTGACTTCTCTATTTGCAAGGTTGTGTCTGATATTTCTCTACCATGCAGTCTCTAGAAATAATAATGCAGGGCATAGCATTTCTAAATATCTGAGTTATTCAAGCTAGATCATCCCTGGGGGCTTCAACATAATAGACTATGGTGGGTGCTAGATTTAAGTCAAACCGCTTTCTCCATTCTCTCTTTCTCATCCCTTCTCCAATGTTAAATAGATATATTCTCTCTCAATGGAAGTCTCCAATTATCAAATTTAATATACACACAGACACGCATATATCCCAGGGATAAAGGTACTTCTCAGAGAGGAAGAGAAACCTTTACCTAAATGTAATACTTTGCCAGGGTCACTGCTCACATATATATATATATATATATATATATATATATATATATATATATAAATATGTATAATGTTTATTTAAATTTATTACCTTGAAGTACCCTTTAATAAAGTTTCCTCAAAACTATGCCTTTTTAAAATACTCTGTAGCCATTTGCCCTTGTCTGAAACTTTTAAATACAGA